GTGCCCCTGATCCAGGCCATGGTCTTCAAAATTCTTGCTATGCATCAGAGAGCTGGACAATGACTAAGGATGACAGAAGAACTGATGCCTTTGAGTTTTGGCTCTGGAGAAGAGTCCTGAACATAACATGGACTGCTAAGAGAACAAAAAGGTCTGTCCTGGAAAGGGTGAAATCAGGCTGTTCTTTGGGGCCTAGGATTTTGAAGCTCCAATACTTTGGGCATGTTGCCCAGTCTTTAGAGAAGGGTGTCATGCTTGGAAGGATGAATGGACAACCCAGGAGAGGAAGCCCCTGGATGAGATGGATTGACACAGTAACTTGGGTAATTAGGGTAGGTGTCAGAAAGTTAGTGAGACTGTCTAAAGATAGGACAAGCTTCAGAGCTATTGTACATAGGTCACTATGAGTCATAGGCAACTTGATGGCATATAGCAACAATGTTTCAAAACAAAAATCTTTACAACTGTAATGACTGACATCATAATAAAAGGGAAAACATCAAAATTGTCAAGAATTAAATTTTATTTGGATCCACAAGAAAGTCCATGGAAGCAGAAGTCAAGAAATCAAATATTGTCTTGCATGGGGCAAATAAACTGAATTCCCCCACCCCAAATGACTCATTGTCATGGAATTGGAACTGACTCAGAGTTGACCCTGCATGAGGTTTCCTAAGCCTATAAATTGCATAAGGTAGTTGTTTTTGCTGTTGTACATTAGAACTGACTCATAGCTGTCCACCTAGCAGAGTTTTACAGAAAGTAAAAAGCACAGGAGGAGATTGCCCATAGTTCCCCCACAGAGAAGCTGGTGGATTCAAACCCTGTGCCTTTGGGATTACAGTGCAGCTTCTTACTATTCTCAAGGGAATGAAGGAATCATCTTCGACTTAGCAGTACAAACCTCTACAGAATACACCATCAAAGCTGCTAAAAAATCCCTAAAACTTTTTAGAGTGTTAAAAAAAGCAAAGATTATGTTTATCACAGTTTTGTTTACAATAGCAAGGAGTTGGAAACAACCTAAGTGCCCATCAACAAACGAATGGATAGAGAAGCTGTGGTATATTCACACAATGGAATACTACGCTGCATTGAAAAACAAGGAACTCATGCAATATTATTCAAAATGGGTGACCCTGGAGGACATTATGCTGAGTGAAATATCTCTGTCACAAAAGGACAAATACTGCGTAGTGGCACTGTGGTAAAACAGGACTGACATCGGGGTTGGGGCGAGACTGAGAAAGATGGAATAAATGATGTATACTGCATTGAAACAGATGAGGGAGAAAACTGTTTAAAATGGATATGTGATTAGCTGTTACTATCATGACAGGATTCCAGAATGAAGCAAAGATCTAATGTTGAGGACTAAAGGGTGCCTGACCCAAGCAGTAAGTATTTTTGATTGCCTCAGATGCATGTGAAAGCTGGACAATGACTAAGAATGACCAAAGAACCACCAATGTCTTTGAATCACAATGTTGACAACGATTATTAAGTCTATCCCGGATTCCCAGAAGAACAAACAAATCCGTGTTGGAAGAAGTACCGCCAGAATGTTCTTTAGAAGTGAGGATGGTGGGACATCCTTTGATCATGTTAAAGGGGGAGCATGACCTACAGGAGGATATCAATCTTGGGAAAAGTACAGCGTCACTTTAAAAGGAAGACTTACTGCAAAGGAAGACATACTGCCAAGCTGCAGTAGCAATTAGTATAGAAGTACTTGTACGAATGGCGTAAGACTGCGCAGTTTTCATTTTGTCGTATATGGGGTCACTGGTCAGCTATCAGTGGGTTCTGACTTAATGGTACACAACATGAGTAGACAGTGACGACACCCAACAACTCCAATAACAATAATAAAGAAGATAAGGTTTCTAACTCTGCAGCTTTAATCATCAAGTTCCCTCCCTATCACACACATCCATCCTACCCTAGCTGGCCTACTGGGTAAAGAACTGTGCTGCCAATACCAAAGGCAGTGGTTCTAATCCAACAGATGCTCTGATGGAGAAAGAAGGGTGATCTCTCATGTGATTTATAGCCTCTGAAAAGCCACTGGTTCTGACTCAAATGGCAATGAGTTTGATCCTTCAGGTGGCAAATCTAATATCAAGCTTGGAGGAGGCTTCCTTCATTAGACCAAACACTAGATGCTGTTCTGGTTTTTAGGCAGCAGTAATTTCACCACCTTGATTGCTCCCTTCCTGTCTAAAGAGAGGGCAGAAGGCATTCATTCCATCAGCTCTCTCCCATGTCCTCTCTCCCTTCCCCCTGTGGAGACTTCTCTCCTCATTCTCATGCATATATATGTGGCTCAGGGGGCTAGAAAAGCTCAGGTATATCCCCCATTAAACATGCCTCTCCCATCAAACAATGGTTTTGAGCATGGTTGAGATCATGAGGATGACACAAGCTAGGGCAAGTTTTTAACCTCTTGTTCATAAGATCTCTATGAGTCAAAGTTGACTCAATAGCAACTAACCTGTTCTGCTTCTCTGTAGCACTTAACAGTGTCAATCTCATATTTACTGTTGTGTTCCTTCACTAATGCTGTTGTTGTTAGGCCCTCCAGTGGGAACTGACTCTAGCTGATGCTCCAGCGAGGTGTCAGAGACTAAATCCAAAGAAGAGAGAGTGCCCTTTTTTGCCCTACGAGCAGCTAGAAGATTCAAACTGCTTAGCTTTGGTGTGGCAGCACAAAGTCCTATCCACTAGACCATCAGAGTTTGCTAACACTTTACATGTTGTTATGAGCCATCAAGTCAGAACTCACTCAAAATGACATTCTAGTATGTTTACAAAGACAAGTAAAGTGCACAGAAGGACATTCTGAAAGCAGCCCTGCTGGTATAGTATGTAATGCTGTTAACCAAGAGGTGGGTGGTTTGAATTCACCAGCGGCTTTGTGAGGGAAAAAATCATTAGTCTTCTAATGATTTACGGCCTTGGAAACCCAACTGAGAGTAGTCGAAAAGACTCATCAGCAGTGGATCATTAGCTTGGATACCCAATCAAGAATGTAAGATTCAAATGATGGCTTTTATTATTCATCAGAGGCAACTGGGGCTAGGAGTATAAAAACCAAAATCTATTTAAAATACACATTTTGTGAAACAATCATCGTAAACAAGTCTACATTTTGTCTTTGCAATATGTAAAAACCAAGTTATACATCATGCTGAAAAAATTCTTTTGAAATAATACTATAAGCTCAGCAATGAAATATACCTACCATACATTTTAAAAATAATACTTGGAAATTTGAAATTGTACAATGCCTATACTTGAGGCAGTAGTAACTAATTATTCCCAATTCAATAAGTTCAGGATTAATTATTTGAGCCATAGAATGTTGAAAAATATGAATATCTAAATAATTTCGAGCATGAAGATATAATTATACTATCTCTCCCAGCAGCTTGAGTTTACATATTTAGATAACAAAAACAGAACATATTTTGTTGAGGGTTTTTTAAATTTCTAATCAGAAAAAAGGATGCATTTCAATAGTAAAATGTAAGGCTTAAAATAAACATATTTGCAGTTTTGATAAGATGCTCTTTGGGTTGAACTTTCATTGTCATGTTATTATTTCATTTATTTTCTTCTGAAGAAAAACATGATACTAAATACTGTCAATTACCAGCCTTTCCCACATCTTCGTATAATAATTTTTAGTAAAATTACATAAAAAGATGAAAGAAATGGTTGGGAAAATTTTGAAGGATGAGAATATAGTAAATTTTCTCATAATTTGATAGCTGCTCTGAGTTTGGCTGAACGCCCTCTGGGGTTGTCTTCTACGTCCCCAGCGTCTGGAGTAACCACCTTCTTGTGGATTAATTTCCACATTACAGAAGCCCTTACAGAGGCTTCTGCCTTGTTTTCTTGACCTGAACTCAACTGTGGTATTTGTAACACTTTGTGTCTAACACTTTGGTTAAACTTTTCTGTCATGCTTATCCCGAGCAAGAATCGTTTGACAATGCGATCTTCTAGTGAATGGAAGGAAATGGCAACAAGACGGCCACCGGGTCTCAAAAACTTCTGAGCCGTCTTCAGTCCTGTGTACAGTTGATTGAGTTCATTGTTGACAAATATGCGACAAGCTTGGAAAGTCTTGGTAGCAATGTGAGAAGGTCTCTGGAGCAAGTCTTTTCGTGCATAAGTAGCAGAGGTAGAAAATGCACCTAGGAAAAGATTTGGAAAAAAACAAGAAGACAATTAACATTAATATTTTCAATAAATCTACTGGTTTGTGTTGTGTGCATTTAAGCAATTTTGTTCATACATTATTATGTCATTTCATTCATACATCCCACTTCTGTTTCCACACATTTTTACCAAGTTTTAAAGTAATATATTGGGAAAATTTTTCACTATTTGTCAGGGTAATTGGAGAGGAATAATCAAAGGAGAAAGAAATGGACAAATACTTAAAGAAACAATAACCAAAAACTTTCCCACCTTATTGAAAGATATTGATTTACAAATGCAAGACGCTCAAGGAATATCAACCAGAATACATGGAGAAAATGACATGTAAGCACATCATAATGACATTGCTACTAGGAAAATCTTGAAGACAGAATTCAAAAACAGTAGATTACTTAAACAAAAAACAACTCAAATGCTCATAGTTGACACTCCATGGGGTTTTGAGAGGCTGTTAATCACAAGGGAGGAGATTCCTATCATTCTCTGTTGGAACAGGCAGCACAACTCTTTGCCCTCTAGAGCACCAGAGCTCTGTTCTGTATTATATAAGAACAAAAATATGAGCACAGTGGAGAATGGAATGGCATATTAAAATATTTTAAATTTATTTTTATTCATTCATTGTTGCACATTTTCGTCCCTCTCCTTCCTTTACCCAACCTTAGTCCACTTTGCAATGCACCTCCTTTTCCAGATTGTTGTCATATTTATATAATGCTTAAAAATGTCTGAAATAAATATATGACTTTCTTTCAGACATTTCTTCCTCTCATCTATTCCAATGCAGTGTTCACTATCTATCTTTCTTTCCCCATTCTCCTCCAACCATCGATGTCAGTTCTATTTTATAACAAGGGTGTTATGCAGTGTTTGTCCTTTTGTGACTGAGCTATTTCACTCAGCATAATGTCTTACAGGCTCACCTATGTTGTGTTTTATGAGTTCACTGTTTTTCAATCCTGAGTAATATTCCATTGTTCTATAGTTCTTCTATCCATTTGTTTGCTGATGGGCACTTGGATTGCTTCTATCTCTTTGCTATTGTGAATAATGCAGCAATAAATATGGTTGTGCATGCATCTGTTTGAGTTGTGGTTCTGGTTTCTTGATGGTATATTCCCAGTAGTGGAATTGCTGGGTCAAGTGTTATTTCTATTTCCAACTTTTTGAGAAAGTGCCAGACCATTTTCCATAGTGGTTGTGCCATTTTACATTTCACAAGCAGCAAAACCCACACCTCACACCATATCGCAAATTTTGAGAAAAAGAAATTATTTTCCAAGAAGTTAAAAAAACAACCATTCAAAAACAAAGGATCAAAGGTATTTCCATAGAAATGAAAATGAAAAGAATTCCTCGCTAGCAAGTATCAGCTAAAGTACAATCATCAGACTGAAGTTAAATGTCAAACCCAGGTGTAGAAGAATGCAACTTTCTGGGCTGCTAACTTTTCTCATACGAAAATGAGCAATCTCCTGTAAAGATTTACAGATTCAGAAACCCAATGGACGGTTGCCATGTCTTGGAACCAACTTGACAGAGTGGGCTTGATTTGGATATATGAAAATTTGGATCTAGTGAGAGGAATAAGGAGAATCAGATAAGCTGCAAATACAAATGACTTAAAAACAAACCAGATGCTGTTAAGTCAGTCTGGAGTCATGGTCACCTCATAGGTTGTGAAGAATAATAGTGAGTACAATAGGGATTGAACCTCAACAAAAAGAAAACAACGATTCTCACCGCAGAGCCACTGGCAGCAAGATGATAGATGGAAAAGAGATTGAGATTGTTAATTTCTGCTTGCACCAGCAGTCAGGAAATCAAAAGACAAATTGCATTAGGAAAATCTGCTGTCAGAGACCTTTCCAGAGTGTGGAAGAACAATGAAGTCAGTCTAGAGACTAAGGTATGCCTGATGCAGGCCATGGCCTTTGCTACATATCAGAGAGCTGGACAGTGACCAAGGATGACAGAAGAAGAATTGACGCCTTTGAGTTGTGGTGCTGGAGAAGAGTCGTGAACATATTATGAACTGACTAAAGAACAAACAGGTCTATCCTGGAGAAGGGGAAACCAGGTTGCTCATGGGAGGCAAGGATTTTGAAGCTCCATCTCACAGCCTTTGGGCATGTGGCCAGGAGAGACCAGTCCTTGCTGAAGGACATCATGCTTGGAAGGGTAAATGGACAGTGCAGGACAGGAAGACCCTAGATGAGATAGATTGAAATGGTAACTAGAGCAATGGGATTAGGTGTGTCGGAGTCAGTGAGACTGGCTCAGTACAAGGCAGGACTCAGAGCTATTGTACATAGGGTCACTGTGAGTTGTAGGTAACTCGATGGCACATAATAACAAGAAGTGGAATCTTGTTAACCTCCCCAAGTCCTATCTTCATGGATGAGAAAGAGGATAGGTGACTGCTCTGTGAAGCTTTTTAGTGTTTTTCTCGTGATTAAAGACAAGTATTTTCCCTTGTTTTTAACTACCAGTCGGTTCAGAATCAACTTCACCTTATGGCAACTCCATGTGTCAGAGTAGAATTTGCTCCATAAGGTTTTAACTGACTGATTTTTAATTAATGAATTAATTTTTTTTAAGTAGTATAATTCCAGGCCTTTGAGTTGTTTGAGAAGAATACTGCCCACCCCAGGAATTCCAAGAAAACAAACAATCTGTCCTGAAGAAAGTGCATCCAGTGCTCCTTAGAGGCAAGGAAGGTGAAGATGTTGTCAGGAGAGGCTTGGCAAAGGACATCATGCTTGGAAAGGTGGTGGGTCTGTGAAGGAGAGGAAGGCCCTTAATGAGATGAACTGACACAGTGATTCTATGGGTTGAGTATGTATCAGGGATAACGGGTGAGGGCAGAGTTCACATGCACTGTTCTTAGGGTTGCTACGAGTTGTACCCAATTTGATGGCACCTAACAAGAGAAGGCTAAGCTTGGCTTCTCTTATGTTAGGCCAATTTCATTTCCGTGGCCCAATGAGATGAATTGAAACAGTGACTGCAATGACGGGCTTAAGCACAGCAGAAGCGGGGAGTGTGTGGGATAGAGCAACACTTCATTTTGCTGTATGCAAAGTGGCTACTAGCAGCCTTGTTGGCACCTAAACAACAACTCCCTTCAAGTGACACCTGCAATTCATAGGAAAAAAGGTTGGAAATTCAGATTATGTAAAATAATATTAAGTAGCATATGGTACTAGAAGTTATAGTACAATCGTTTAAAAAATATCAACTGGCAATGATATAAAGAAGACAGACAAAAAATGTCCTTTTATGAAAAAGTAAATAAGGGCTTGAATTAGAAAGTTTAAAACAAGCAGCTGAGGCAGTCACAATGAGTTTTCTTGTGAAAGCTACTAGATAGAGAGCCAGAGAGACCTAGCAGGTATCTAGGTAGAGCATCTGCATACGAATTTTCATGAAAAAGATTACTCAGCCACCACATTGGATTCAATGCCTGCTCCTGTGCTAGACTCTGAATTAGGGCAATTAATGCAAAGACTAATAACGAGACATGGCCCCTGGTCTTGTTACCTTTTAAAAAATCTCCTTCCTGTCCCATCACTGTGAGTAGAAGTAGAAACTAAATTATCTGCTTTTTCATTTCCTGAGTTTAATCAGAGTTGAGTATGGCTAATGCAGTTGATTAGGAAATATGGTAGAGAAGAAAGGAAATACAGATACAATTTGAGTTATTAGATTTGACCAAAGAAAATATTTGTGTGTTCCATAGACTTTGAATGAACCTAGTTAGCACTGAGCCGGTGTGAATCAGTTCCATGCGGGAGGAGGTATGCTTACCCTAGTGTAGCATTTAGCACACTCTGTTATAATGACTGGTTTACTTATCTGTATCACTCATCGACTGTGATCTTCTTGCAAACAGGAATGATTTCGTGTTGACTGGCATATTTCTATTGCTTGAAAGAGGCTTTCTGAACATCAGAATCGCGTGTGGTGTTTGAAAAGACACAGATGCTGGACCCAGTCCAGACCTATAGAATCAGAGTTTCTGGGACATATTACAAGGGAATTGTTACTTAAAAAAAGGTTCACAGAGGATTTGGATATGAAACTAAATTAAGAAACTACTACTTGCTGAGCAAATCCTCAGTATATATTTTTGAAAAGGCAATGGATATTGAACAGGGAAAAAAAAATAGACTATTGACCAAATAAAAAAAGAGGACCTTTACTACACAAAATTATATTCCTATCACTAAGTCTTTAGATAAAAAATGCAATATCCCAGTCATATCAATGAGTGACTAAATAAAGACCATAATGTATTTAGTCACAAAAAACATTATGAATACTATTCTTAAATGATGTCATCAAAGAGGCATCTTATATGTATTACTGTTTGGCTGACTATGATTGTGGACAGCAAATATGATTTTACTTGTGTAATTGAACTCTCAAATTTGTTGGAAATTTTATTATCTCAATACAACTGATCACATATGCTTAATTATTCCTCAGAGTGACTAGAAATCTCCTACATTAATCAACCATTTGTACATACAGCAGAGCACCTGTAAGTAATTTTAACCTCAAGAAGTACCAGTTTCCAGTGATTTACTATCTGAAATACAGCAAATGCACAAGGCAAAAATTTTCCTATGGTTCTTTTGTAGAATAACATGAAGCCTGGGAATGTAATGGTAAACTTACGTTTTAAAATAATTTCATAGAAATCTTAGATTAAATGATTTTTTTTAGGTTTAAAGGGTTTCTGATCCCTAAAAGATTAATGTACAGTACTGCTAAAATTTTAGGTGAAGTTTATTTCACTTAACACCTATGAAACTCTAAGCTTTATCTCAATACTTCAAAATAATAAACCTATTTTCCTCCTGCAAGCAAGATTTTACTGAAGATAATCCAAAAACGACTGGAACAGCACATCAACAGAGAACTACCAGAAGTCCAGGCTGGGTTTAGAAGGGGTCGTGGTACTAGA